TGCCAACAGGGTAGCGGCACAACTTAGAACGAACCGAAAGACCGAAATATGGGACATACTGCGCTTATTTAAAAGGGCATCATTTTTTACGGCCCTTCTTTTATTTTGATGATCAAATGTTTTCTCTCGCCCTGAGTGGTGCTCAGCCCAAGCAGATCACACTGCTAGCGTAGGTATGCTCCTTACAATAATGACGCCTGTAACGCCGCTGACGTCAATAATATAATTATAGAAAAACATTGTAATAATTAAAATAGTTCTATTTCAGTATCCAAGTTTTCTGTGCCCATCAGGGTCCACGGTGATCTAAAGCAAGGCAAGGCAAGCAATGTCGGTATCACGGAGTAAGAACAATGGTAGGTACGGTATAAGTACCTACAACTTAAGCTCAGAAAGTGAATTGCATTTTAAGTTTTTTTCATTATAAAAATATAGCTTTCATGGCTTGATGGCCAGCTGCTTCGTAGGTTCCTGTTTCGGCTACAGCGAGAGTGTCATTATTGTGAGGACCACCCAGAGGACACGGTGGATCATACGGTGGCGGTGTGCCATGCTTGGGCTGACCTCATCGGCGGTGACCTCTCGCACACGACCTTAGACGGTCATTGTGCGGAGCGAGAACAACTGTGAAGCCCTATCTTTTTGTGAAGCAGTTATGCTAGCAAAGAAGGAGGTGGACCACGTGAAGGAGCTATCCTCCTCCTCACGCCCCAGCCGCCGCAGTAGGCGACACTCCGGGCGTCGGGGATCAAGAGACGATCTCCGGCCAACGTAAGCGCAAGTCTGCGGACGGCGATTAAGGGTAGCTCGCCGCCCGCACCACAGAGGGGTCCTATAGGACTGATGTCCAGCCGGGGTTGCGGGGTAAGCGTAGTAAGGCACCGCGTCCGCGTAGAGTAGGAGAAGGTACGGTTGGGTTTTTAGTCAGTACTTAAGAGTCTGACACAGCCTTACGCTCAACAGAAGAAGTTATTTGATGATTTCCCCTCATAAAAAATTGTTCGATGGCAAAAAGGAGTGGCGAGATTCAAACAACTCCTTGGGGCTTAGGTAGTCTCCGTTGTAAAAATGGGTTCAAGAAAATGAACAGCTATCGCTGTACGACGTTACATCGCTACGTAGCGCCAAACCGACATAATAAGTTGCGATTTGAATCGTCCTGGCAGTCAACGATTCGAACGGCTCTCGCATGAATGTAGGATATTTTTGGGTAAAAGCTAGTTCTGATGATGTGAGGTGCCACCGCCCAAGAGGAACATAGTGTGGAATAGGTATGGTAAATGGGGGCGAATCTGTGCCTCATATGCAGGTAATGTCACGAATGTACGTCCACGACCATTATTTTGCAGCACGAATTCTAGATTTAGCAGCAAAATATATCTCTAGTTATTTTAATGAAAAGGTGGCTCCTCAATCTAAACATCTGGATTGAGGAGCCACCTGGAATTCGTTAAATAATACTTAGATGGATATTTATGAAAATGTTGTATCATTTAGCAGCAGTTTTGCATATTACCGTCCAAAAATTTTTAATTCGGTATAAGTTAGAAATAGCCAATCCGCCTTGAGTAAGCGTCGTCAATAATGCTCTAACCTTCTCCATGTGAGAAGAGGCCTTTTTTCAGCAGTGGGCACTTATAGGCTGATGATGTGAACGTATGAATATGTACAGTCAGCGTCAGATAGATACATATAAGTATTATAGCATCAAGGGCAGCAATCAGCATAAAGGGTGCTCAAATGTGAAGAAGCCACCAAATCAACAAAAAGTCCATATAAAAAGGTTACCATCTAAATAGGATCACTCAAAACGTACAGCATAGATACAATATGCAGGACCTAGATCTCAAATGAATAAGTAGAGGTGTAGCTTTGTATTTAGGTATAGGCTGACGCTTACCGACGACGTATCGGCATGACATAAAGTGGTTGCAGCTTCGAAAAGGACGATTTACTACTTACGAGCACACCGGCACATGACGCTGCCGCCATCGTCACGCTGCCACGCGGCACTCAACTCAATATCCCTTATTAAAAACCAAAATTTATCTTTAAATAGTCTAGGTTTAAACCATTGAGTAAGGTTTTGAATTTTGAATCTTATTCTCACCTACTTTCAATTTGAAATACAAAAACTGCATCATTGGTTTAGACCTAGGCTAAAGAATTTGTAATAGGGCCGTGTTACTTATTCAATAAGGCAGTAGGTCTAGATCGTTCGATTATGTTGCAATATCTGAAAATTGAAAAGAACAGCATTGTATTGCGTTTCTTATCATTGTCACTGAATCATAAATTTTGTAGAATAGTATCATTTTGCATGAATAGGTATTAAGTAGGTAGTATAGCCTATCAAAATTTGTAAAAAAATCGTAAACAACATCGTCAGTTTCGTCAAATTAAAATTACCTACAGATTTACCTACCTACCTACTTTAAAAGAAGTGCTTTCAAAATTTGACTCGAAAACAACTTTACAGTCGATGTTGTTATTATTGAGAAAAACAATGTTACCCTTTGAAGTATTAAGCGCAATGAGGTACCGCGACCTCGGCACAGAGCAGGAGAAGGAACAGGGGGGTTTTTAGTCAGTAAGAGTCTGACACTCCCTCCTGCCCGGCCCTGGGCGGGAGAAGTCATTTGATGATTTTCCCCTCACAAAAAAAAAAACCCTTTGAAGTATGGATATTGAAATCTGTTTCTAAAACATATCCGTTTATTCAGCTCGGCTACCTAAAAGATTAATTACTAAATTAAAAATTAATAGCATAATTTTTGGTCCCTCGCTGTGTTCTATTGGAAACTACTTACCTCATGATGCACTCTGCGCACACGCTTTAGTAAAAAAAGGGGTTGCCAGACGAAAAATTAAACACAAATATCATTTAGTAACATTTATTTTATCCACTGTATTGGTGTATGTACTTATACGTAGTATTAGTGCTACATTATGTCATACATATACTATGAAGGGAGTCCCCTAGTATCTAGCGTGACCTCGTCTATATACTTACAGCATGGTACGTATAAGTAGTTACTCTTCATGCAAATATCCTTAAAAATCTTTTAGTTGGAAACAGGTTAGGTTTTAAAGTCAGCTTTCGATCAATAAATCGTAGTGTTCCGTAGTAGATCAAAATACAAAATAAAAAAAAAAACATGTAAGTGTTATATTTAATTGATTAAAAGCATCATTCAGTGTCGTGTAATAGCTTTATTAAGGGTTATATCACGTCGTAGTAGTAGGTAGTAAGATATTATTTGGCTCATCATTCAATAAACGGATTGGTTTGATATTAATTTAAAACATTAATATCGACCAATCGTGAATCGAATGACGAAGTGTATGGTCATCACACATAACCCACCACAGGTACCTATGGTGTTATACGTGATGCTACTTGTAATTTCAGGATTAAATTATTGTACACAGAATTTTCCAAAACAGCCCGAAACCCGACAAACAACCAAAACAACCAACCAACGTCACATTACAACCGAAAACGACCAAGACGGAGAACCGACTCAAACAACACTTTCGCTGACAAATACGAGCGACCCATCGATAGACTTCCTAACACCCACTGAACCACGAATACCAGCGTCATAGACGAACAAATGTACGTTGAAACATTTTTGAAACTGATCAGTTTTCCGTTATAAATACCGTCGGTTTAAATGTAGGTTAATTTGATTAATGTGTAAGTAGAGTACTGGTTATAAGTTTTTGAGTAGAGCACTCAAATAAGTGCATTAGGTATAAAAATTGTTTCCGCAGTTTATAGGCCGCAGTCCATACTGAAGTATGTAAAATATTTCGCGCTACATACTACTGACGACAACACAACCTTACATACACACATGATCGTAATAGAATAACACTTTCATGTATTTATTGTTATTGTACACTGTCGTATTACGAGATTTCGCTACATATATATTTTGCAATACTTTAATAAATAGTACACCAATGAACAAATAGGAATTGTTTACAAACTTCCGAATAATACTGCCTGCTTCAATAGAAGGCTGTTATAATTGCGTGTGTTAGTTCGGACGTTTACAAGTTTGGGTCAAATTGCGCTGAAGTAGTCACCAATGAACGTTTACAAGGAATACATTAGTCAGTAGGAGCTACCTCCATTGGGGAACGACATGTACACTAGATGTCAGAGCACGATACACAAGTGGCAAGACTACGTCTCGGACAGTTTCGGAAGCATGAACAAATGATCGCCGATCATTAAACTAACTAAAATTTATATAAAAAATAATTTGTCCAAATTATATTTACTTGACCAAATAACTATTCCCCAATAAAGGTATAATTATATACTATAGGTACTTTTAATTACACTAATTTTAAATATTCGTTAACTTAATAACTAGTGTGTAGATGTATTTACAGTTTGAATATTCGAAGTAATAAACTAAAGTGGAATTGTGTCAAATTGTGTATTTATTATATAACTGACGCGGGCGTACATGGCTGTGTCAAAGTATAAAGTAATCAGAGTAGATCTTGGGTACTCCCCATTCATCGCCCACGTAGTGCATTACAAGTAAATATAGAGAAACCGTCCCTATGTAGAAACTGATGTTACTTCAAGTTTTTTCTATCGAGAGCTGCCTCAAAAATGAACGAAAGCAGGAACGACAAAAAATATTATATATCTTATATATAAGGTAATAAAACCTATGACCAATACAGTAAAATACTGAAGCACTGTATGAAGAATCTAAGCGGGCTTACTACAAGATCCGTTAATCACGTCAAATAAAAACCAAAACATTTAATGAAATCATAAAACAACATTGTTTATTTATAATAATAAACGTAGAGATGATATACTTAATGGCAATTTTGAATTTGGTATTCATTAGGACGGTTATTAACGGACAAATTATGTGAATTTACTTTTGGAACGCAAATGGACGTGTTCAAAAAGCAGTGCGTTCGGGCCATCCACACGTATCCTAAGTACCGTGACGCACGCAACCGAGATATGTTACAATTTAAAAAAGTACTTTGTTTATCTTTTACCTAATCTCCTCAGTCTCTTCGCTATGTTCTTTTGAATCGTCCTCCGATTTTAACCTGAAATTAACAAACCGAATTTCAAAATGTTGCCTTCCCCAATCTATAACTAATTTTGTGGCGTATGCGATATCCACACGCGCGCGCTACGTGTTCGTTCCATCCTTATTAAATTAGCACCCTTCCTTCGTACACCACCTTCCTTGCCAATTATCGCGTGTCTCGCGGTCAGTCCTACGTTATCAATCACATTTTACCGAAACTTTAAACTAACAAGGGTTACACTAACCGCTAGCCCCTAGTTACATTACATGACGTTTAGCACGCAGTTTTCACAGTAAAGTCTTTGATAAAATCACGGTTTAGGTACAGCGCTGTCATTCCTACAGGTGGCCGCCTGCCATACACATATAATCCGCGCTACTACATAGTTCACACCATAAAATATATTCTTGTAATTTGACACCTGATCCGCCTAAGAGTGTACTCGGCTCCACGGTGTTTGGTCTTCCGACGTGGAAGAGTCATCACGTTGAATCCAGATGAGACGCGAGTAAAATAATTCATAGTTATTCTTATAAGCAAAATATAATTCAAGTAGTCTATTAAGATTTTTATCGAATTAAAATAGAATAATTATTTTATAATACAGAAATGCATTGAAATTATTAAAATAAACATTTAAATATATTCATAAAATAAAGCTGAGCATAACATCTAAATCCGGCCGCAGACTGCACCGGGGCGTCCGCTCGACTGATATCACCGTCTTTCAATTTATAAAATACAAATACCCTATCGCAAACGCGATCTAAATCTCTAGAAAAAATCTCTAAATAGAGAATAAGCTCATTAATTTTTTGTAAAGATAAAAAACTGATAATAATATTTCAATAAAAAGGGAAAAATTATTAACAAAAAGTGCGTAAATCCTAACACGTGATATTACAAAATTGACTTTCATTTTTAAATTAAATATACTTAGAATTTATATGCTACGATTTTTTTTGCGATTTTTGTATTGTTATTTTAACATATTTATATACTATTAGATGATGTGGTACAGTCACACAAATATCATGCAGCGTACATCGGCGACGGTCTGCCGCCGTCGGACATCTAACAAAAGGTATTAACGGCGTACTATAGAGGAACTGTACAGCGAATGCAAGTATAAATTAATCCACTTGTTTCCACTTCGTAATGTGATGATTGTACAATAATGAAATATACAGCACACGAGGGTTACACACTAAATTATCAACAATACAAACCGCTGTGAGTATGAAATGTGAAACATTATTGATAATTTCACTGCGAAACCCAATGATTGTCAAAAACCCGGTGACAAAAGTCAACAAGATGATAACGTCAAGAAGTTCTTACGAATAGAAACGACAAATATGTGGTCTCAAGTCACTGCGGCCGTGAAGACATGCGTTGAGTTTATTACTACAACTGGACCGGTAACAGCGACTTGTCGCAGTAATCATATAACTGGTGTAAAATAACTTAGTGTGATATATGCTCAACGAAGAACTTCCTCACAATTGTTAGTATACGACTAATCGCCTTATGATTACATGTTAATATGTCGAATATAAAATACATGAATAATATGCAGTCTTAATAAATATCCGGACGAGCCCGACTTTCATGAACGATATCGTCAAACTGATTCCTCATCCACGTGCCATTAGAAACTTGTATGATAAGCGAGTATGCACGTACAATTCATTTCAGAGATGCCGTCTGAGGAAGAGAGATAAACATCGCGGAGGGAGGCCTCCCTCAAGGAGAAATGCAGTAATAAATGCATAGAAAAAGGGTCCAATGCAAACTCGACTCAAAAATTAGGGATTTGATTGTCGTGTTATATGAGGAAAGAATAGAAAGTCGGACGTGTCTGGAGTTTAATGCTTGACGTATGAGTATATGATGATCCCAGCTAATATAAACCCGAAGGTAATCGTAAGCGGTTTGTACAGGGACCTCTTGAGTTGATGCCACCGCTCCGCCTCGCGCGCTTTCCGCTTCATGTTAAGCACGCGATCTGCCAGCTCACGATTCCGCCGCCGACGCAGCGTGTCCGCTCCATCGCCAGAACTGCACAGAATTACAAACAAATATGTTTATATTTAATTAAAAAAAAACATAAATCCCTAAAAATGATGAAAATGATCTTCCTTCGAAAAATTTGCTAAATTTATTACATTTCCCATTAAACCTGACTTAAGCAAACCCAAAATTCTAAGTTTAAAGCTTTCAATGAAAATTTTTCAAAGGAATTTCGCATGTCTTAATAAATTTTAATGAATTTAATTAAAGGTTTCCAACCAATGATTCGAGTTATCTAATATTTGTCAAAACTAGGCCTTGGTATGATTGTTATATTTTATGCATGCATGTTCTAGAAATGCAATAGTTGCTTCATTTAAATGGTGACATGATCCTTACTAATTGATGAACTAAATGGATTATCATGACTAGAACTTTCGATGAACTGTCCCCCTGATTTAATGAATTCTATTTTATTGTATAACAATTAAAGTTGCTAATGCTATTTTCTTTGAATTTTGTACGCTGATCAAAACTCTTTATTTGATAGAGTGTGCTTTGAAGTTGTCTTGAAACTACGGAAGCAGTGTCTGATTTGTGCTTTGACACGATCACACTGTACACAAGTGTGGACAACACAACTAAAGTGATCTAAGTAAGTAAGTACAGTCAAAATTTACCAGACATCACAATACTCTATGATAATAGGGCTGAAATGCATAAAAATTGTTATTTTCATAAATAACTCACATTATGATAAAATTTCCCTAAAAATTTTAATTACTAGTACGACTAATAGAACACTGGCTTTCACCCGCGGCTTTACACGTTTCAAATCAATTTTTTTTATTAAATATCCTATGTTAATTCAGGTACCGTCAAGGATATATGTACAAAGTCTCAATGAACATTGGACAAATAGTTTTTGCGTGAAAGCGTAACAATCATCCCTACCTTCACGTTTTTAATATTATATATGTTAGGATAATTAACAATCTTAAACTTTTCACTTTTCAACAAACAATGCACCATTCGAATCTGTATACACCTCAAAGATATACAGATAAATAAAAATATTTTATAAAAAATAGGTATTCATATCTTAAATATATCAAATCTATATTATTAGTACGCGTTATTCTTTATACGCGTAACAAATAATTAATCTATTTGGTTATTATTTAAACTGTACTACTGTCAAACAGAATGTACTTATACCGTGCAAGTTCCTTTTATTAGATAAAAAGGTAATTAAAATTCCATTGCAACGCTTATCAATATTAAATTTGTTTGTTTCTAAATTAAAAAAAAAACAACAGAACTAAATTCATACAAGTTCTACTAACATCTTTAACTTTCAAAATACTACATCTCTTGATCTTTAAGCATTTGACTGCCGACAAAAACTGTTGAAGGCGAACTCTCCGCTAGCGTCGGACAGCATTGTCCGACATGGCGTTCTAAGTGTTAAAAACGTTTTCCAACACAACATACTTGTACTTGTTTGTGCACACAACATGTTGTCAAGGCAGACAACGACTAAAGTGACATATTTGGCAGTTGCTTTCAAAAGTGACAGTAATGGCGGTTATTTTTAAATTTAAACGTCACTGGGGCTGTTTGTGTCTCGTGGGCTGAGGGGCTGGCAGTTGAGGCCTAAGTTCCTCATGTTCTGTATGCATGCACATCTCATGGCCCTTCGTAACATGTCAGATACATACCTTTCAGCGACGGCAGCCGTAGGCTCATCATCTTCGTCATCAGCTGAGGACGCTGAGAGGGAGTTGTCGCGCGACGGCGGCGTCGGGGGACTCTCATCCGAGCTCGAATCTTGCTGGCTGAAGTTCAGATTGCCTGCCCAATAACAAACTAACATTACACCTGTTTCGTAGTAAAAAAATATAATGATGTGCTGAGTTAATATCTTTTGCGGGCGCGTATAGCGAGTAATGTGTGTCGTCGATATCGGCTGTTGAGAACTGCTATTTGACTTTGTAAATGGCAGCTTGCGAATAATGATCAGGTGCTTTGTTGTCTTTTGAACATTAAAAATGTATCGACAAAATTTCTTAGAAATTTACAATTAAACTGTAGCAGTATAATTGAAGCCGTAACAATATGCCCAGAAAACACAGATCACCCGCTAAACAGCACCCACATCACTAAAGCAACGACTGTATACACAACCTCAATCACATCAATGCAAAAATCTATAAAATGTCCATAAACACGTAAACATCAATATTTAAAAACACGAACAACGCACATTGAAATGAGCGTAGTATCACGCGGCCAACGGCGCAATGTATAAGTGAGACAGACCTCGGCGCGGTGATGCTAAGTCATTCCAATATTTATATACGATAAAGCTGCCATTCGTCACTCTCAACAAGAGCACAGTCTTACATCAGACGCAGAGCCTCTCAGACCTTACACTAACAAGTACACTAAGACATGAATGGCATGCACTATTGCCTATCTGAGTCGACCACGGTGTATCCATACTCGGCTGCAATGAAAATTTTTACTCAGATCCGGTCCGCTTCATCGGCTACGTCTCCTCGATGTTCGCTAATCTGACGGCTTTAATCAAACGAAACAAACCGAATCAACGAGTTCTAACAATGGTAAACATATTTTTATTTTTCAATTTTCCAAAATTGTATCAAAATTTTTCACATTCTCAATGTATAATTGTATACTTAGTTCTTTGTAAATAATGTTTCTACTTCGAAATGCAACAAGAAAACTTGAATATAGTATAAATATATTGTATTTAGTTTCATTTAAAGGTGAAATTATCTGGGATGTGTACAGCTACAAGGTGAACACTGGTAAGGCGATATAATGTGATATTCTGCTTCTATTGCGAATAAATGTAGACGATACTGGGCGAGGTTGTGCGACTCGCCGTGTTAGTCGGACGACATTGCAAATCAAGTGGATGACAAAGCAACTCAACGTAGAACATTAAATGAAAGGATGATGGCGAGTAGTTCATCTGGGGGTGCGGAAGTGGTTTCGGAAGAATTTCCAGAACTTACCGAGGGACTCGCTGACGGGGATGGCGGGGAGTGGCCGGCCCGGGGCCCGGGTCAGGCTCTCGGCGCGGGGAGGTGGTGGTGGCGGCGCCTCTTCTTCACCGACTACCGCGTAGATACTGTCCTCGCGCTCGTCCTCATCCCTCTGCAAGTACACATGAACAAAATGCATTTTACAATCTGAAATATGAGTGTCCATTGCATATAATATAAATCTAAATATGGACATACATATTGATTACATGTTAGAAACGCTCAAACGATTAACTTCTGAAAATATTTGTGTTCGATTCTCGCGTCACCATCAGCCTATCTCTTCTCTCTTCAATTCACAATACCATAATATTTGACTTAAAAGGAACTGCATCTATTGCAATTACTAAAAATAATCCTATCTGCATTTAAAATACTGACTGTGGGTCGGTCGGTGATTGCAAGTAGTATCCCGTTTCTCATAACACCCTCTAGGTTAGGATCGCACTCTGTTTATGGGAACAACATCACAAAGCACAATTGATAGTTCCTATAAGTCCATAGCTATGTAACTTTTCCTCCTCAGTATACCAAGCTTAGTCCAATATATCGATAAATATTTAAGAAAAAAACACCGTGGAGGCCGACACCGTACAGTAATGAAGTTGCACTTTATTTAATAAACGCTAAAGTAATAAACGCTAAAGGAATTCCGTTTCCGGTACTTGTGTTATAAACGCCCACGCAGTTTTGCTCCAAAACAAAACTCAAAAATAAAATAATTACAACCGAAGTTTTAATAAACTAAACCACTCTAAGTGATTAACTTGGTGTCAAAAAGTGATTGAAGTAATCGTCGTTGTGTAATTACTGTCACTGACAATAATAATACGAAAACAGAAAACCCAACAGAATTTGGAGGTTAGCTGCCATAACAGCGGATTTAAACTCTCAGGTTGGCATTTCTGATAATTTGACAACGTCATTTACTGTCACTGTCAATTTCAAGATCTACAAACGTCACGGTCACCAGTGTTGCCAACGAATAATTATAAAAATCTACCACTACGTTTCGTAACACGCAAAACATGGATGATCAATTTCAACTCTTATTCAACAAAATGAAAATTGAAATGCAGAACCAAACCGAGTCTATAACCAATACTATAATGGACAGAATGGATGAGAAATTAAAACCAATACTAGAAGAAAATAGAAATTTGAAGATACAGATACAAAAATTGGAAAATAAAATTGAATATTTGGAAAGAGACAAGAAAAGCAACAACATAATAATATATGGATTGAAGGAGGGCGAAAAATCAACAACAGAACTGATCAATTATACGAAGCAAAAATTCCAAGAGGAATTAGATATTACCTTGGGAGATTATGACATCAACAGAATATATCGCATTGGGAAAATAACAAACAAAGGAAGGCCGAGGCCTACGCTTTTATCTTTTACTAATGGGTGGAAAAAGAGCGAAATAATTAAGAACAAGAAAAAATCGAAGGTTTTATATATTGCTGATGACTACTCCAAAGAAACTCTGGAAAAAAGGAAGGCTTTACTACCAAAACTAAAAGAAGAGCGAAACAAAGGGAATATTGCCTACTTAAAATACGATGAACTTATAATCAAAGAGAATTCAACTGCCAATGAAAAAAGAAAAAGGGAACCTTCGGCCTCTCCGTACGCAAACTCCCAACCCAGAAAGCAACAGGTAACGTCATTCTCACCCAAGAAGAACAGAACTAATGCATTTGAATTGATGAGAGGTCGCTCTAACTCTCTCACCATACACCCGTCAGGAAAAGAACAATAACAACTAGTTATCGGCGAACGGAAACAACAACCAAAAAATGGATCAAACTATACAACAAAAAACAAACTTCCCCCAAGCCGGCTGGTCCCCGTGGGGGAAAACGACCAAGACCCTCTAAAGAAAAATAGAAAAACAAAAACAATAGATTTACATATAGCAACATTCAATACAAGATCACTAAGGACACCGGAGAGACTTCAAGAGCTTGAAATGGCCATATCAGAATTAAAATGGGACATAATCGGAATAAGCGAAATGAGAAGATACGGAGAATCAATAAATGACTATGGAAACTACATTCTACACTACATAGGCGAGACTTCGGGACTATATGGAGTGGGCTTCTTAATTAAGAAGGAACTAGCTAGTAGGATTATTGAAATTAAAGGAATAACTGAAAGAATAGCTATAATTAATATAACATTGCCTATCAACAAAGAAGAAGAATGGTCTATCATTCAAGCATATTCGCCACCGGAATCGAGTAACAAAGAAGATATAGCAAAAATTGAAAAATTTTACCTTGACTTACAAGAAACGATTCAAAATGCCCATAAACAGATCATAGTGATGGGAGACTTTAATGGTCAGATAGGGATTTGTGAAAACCCAGGTGAAGAATACACAATAGGCAAACACGGGCGTGGTAAAAGAACTAAGAATGGCGCGAGGCTAATTTCATTTGCTCTAAAAAATAAACTAAGTATTCTCAATAGTTTCTTTAAGAAAAAGGTAACCAAGAAATGGACATGGATCTCTCCAAATGGTGCCTACAAAAACGAAATAGATTTTATTTTGTCGAATAACATCAAACAGATTAAAAACGTATCTGTGGTACAAAACCTGAACTTCAATTCAGACCACAGAATGGTTCGTGCTACATTGACAGGCAAGCGTATACAAAAGAACAGGAGATGGCAAAATGATAGTTCGGCCCTGGTGTGTACTGGGAATAGCGACATGCTAAAAAACAACTTAAAACCTTGATAGGAATACTCAAAGAAAAATCCACGCCTATTGAAGAAAAATACGAAAAGTTTGTAAATGTACTTAAAACAGAAACTAGGAAAGTAAATAAAAAAATAATATCTGTAGAAACCCAACAGCTACTTGAAGAAAGGAGAAAATTGCTGCAATCAAAGAAAAATAATCGAGAAAATAGAAGCAAGATAACAGAAATCAGTAAAAAGATAAATGAAACATAAGGAAAGATAGGAAAATCAAAAGACAGCAAACACTTGAAAAACATATAAGAAGAACTGGTGGAGTAAAAAAGGCGATTAAAGAGTTAAAGGACAAGAAAGAATGGATGCTAACAGTAAAAACTAAACATAAGAAACATAGTAAAAGACCTGAAATAATTAAGGTGGCAACAGAGTATTATAGAGAATTATATAAAAGCAAGAATCCAAAATTAGCTACAGAGGAACCATATACATTAAATTCTGAACCTATACCAGAAATATTGGAAAAAGAAACGGTTAAAGCTATAAACACACAGAAAGCGGACAAAACACCTGGATCCGATCAAATAACCAACGAATTGCTCAAATCGACTTTATCAATAATTGCTCCGATGTTAACAGACTTATTTAATGAAATTATTGAAACCGAAAGCATTCCACAAGACTGGACCAAATCAACAATAATTTTGTTACACAAGAAAGGAGATAAGGAGGAAATTGGTAACTATCGCCCTATCAGTCTAATGTCCAACATTTACAAAGTCTTTTCAAAAATCATTTTGTCTAGAATTGCCACAGTACTCGACGAAAACCAGCCAAGAGAACAAGCCGGTTTCCGAAGTAAATTTTCAACCATAGACCACATCCACGTTCTCAGACAAATTCTACAAAAATACAATGAGTATAATAAAATTTACTTCTTAGGCTTCGTAGACTATAACAAGGCTTTCGACTCCCTAGAACACAGATACATCTGGGAAGCTCTGCGAGGTCAAAATGTACAGGACAGATACATAAGAATCTTAAAGAATATATACTCAAAGACCACAGCACATGTCAGACTGGAGAAATCGGGTGAGGAATTCTCAATAGAGCGAGGAGTTCGTCAAGGCGACCCTATCTCACCTAAATTATTCTCGGCAGTTCTGGAGATGATAATTAGGAACCTAGAATGGAAAGAACAAGGGATCAATATAAACGGTGAAAAACTAAGTCATCTACGTTTTGCAGATGATCTGATACTGTTCTCTGAATGTCCTAGAGCGTTACAACAAATGCTACAACAATTAGCTGACCAGAGCGTAGTAGCAGGACTAACAATGAACATCGCGAAAACAAAAATTATGACTAACTCTTCAGAGACACAAAAGATTATAGTAAACATGCAGGAGGTAGAATACGTGGATGAATACATTTACCTGGGACAGTTGATATCACCTACGGGAACCATGCATAAGGAAGTCGATAGAAGGATAGCCAATACGTGGAAGAGATATTGGTCATTAAGTGAAATTATGAAAGATAGGGATATGCCAATTAAAGCAAAAAGAAAAGTCTACAATATGTGCATTCTGCCATGTTTAACATACGGCTGTCAAACATGGGCATTAACAGAAACTTTAACAAATAAAATAAATGTCTGCCAAAATAGTATAGAGAGGAGTGTTATTGGTGCCAAGCGAAAAGATAAAGTTAGACTAACAGAAATTAAAAACAAAACAAAATTCACACAGGCAAACTCAATATGTCGAACACTGAAATGGCGATGGACAGGTCACATGTTAAGGGAAAAACAAGAGAAATGGACAAAAATTATAACAGAATGGTACCCCAGAGATGGTAAAAGAAGCAAAGGGCGACAAACTAAAAGATGGGAGGATGACATCAAAAAGGTGGCTGGTCCAGAATGGATCCGAGTAGCAAAAGATAGGGAGAAATGGAAATCTTTAGAGGAGGCCTATGTCGAAAGACAAGCTGTTTTTGAACCGAACGCCGATATACGAAGATATGTATAAGTAAGATAATATTTATAAGAATATAGGTTTAATTTATGTCAATGTTTGTAAGTTTAAACAGCAATAAAGGCTAATTTTATTTATTTTATTTATTTTTATTTTATTTTAAAGTAATAAAAATATCCTTAACGCAACGAGAGCAAAATATAAGCGAAGCACTTCTCGTAAAGCTGAAGTATTTTTTAAGAGACAACCCTCTCCTTGCTCTTGGAACCGTTGCAACTACCGTAAGGAGGATCTACGTAGGTACAACAACAAAATAACATCGAAACAATGAAGTCTCAGCGTCTCAGGGACATGAATAATTGTCTCATGATCCCACAACGCAACAAACCTGAAAATATCATGAGAGGATAACAAAGCTTTAAGTTTTTGCTAACCAAATAGAAATAAGCTAGAACACTTACGTAATTGGCGTCAAGGCGCTTCGCTCCTTCAATGACGGCCTGGTACGAGAATCGAAGCTGATCAGGAGTTTGGATCAGGCCCATTCTGTGGCGACGCATTTCCAGGAGGGTCTCCTGGATGTTGAGGTTCTCAATCCCTTCCTTTTCCACCTGACGAATACGGACTCCAATTAAACCACACCGTGACACATAAACCTCGATTAAGAAAGTAAAGCCATTTCAATCAATCGCGATATGCAGTTTCAATATTTAGTTTTCATGGAAGCAGCTAACTTAAAAGCTTGTAATTAAAAATAGTTCATTCAATATTTAAAACGCTGAAGAGCACGTTTCTATAATAGAATTTTTAATTGCTTAATTTTGTTATTTTTATTTCGTCGCGTATTGCAATAGTGGTTACATTTCGTTAGTTCACAAGTCGCGGCAGCAGCGGCTTAAATAAATCTATAATCGAATCACTGAGCGAGCCAATTAATTTAAAACTTCACTTAAAATAATTATTAATTTTAAAAGTATTTATTAAAAGCACCACTAATCGGAAAACCATCGATTTTAATACACAATATAATAAATCAACCTCGTTAAAATGAAAGCTTAATTAAATTTTTTAGAATCTAGTCAAATAAAAAAAACTATTGTTTAAAACTACAATTAGACATCGCAAGCCACTAACGTAGTCAGAAGAAATGGACGTTGATGAAGACGATGTAGACAATGATGATGAAGTACTGGCCATTGTGAATGTAGTTTGGTGGAAACAGTAAAGTTTAAAATGTGAAGGGTTAACTGGGTCCCGATTCGCTACGTCCGCGCTCGGCCGCTGCCTACGTCGAAATGCAACGTAGTAAGCATTCGATTTATGTACAATACAACCCAACACCGTCTGTCATTCTGCTGTTACATATTTGATAGCCGTGCTATAACTAAGCTGAAGTCGTCGACTTCCTATAGGTGTCCCAAAAGGAGGCCGCTAATATTATCTATTAATTAACAACGATATGCTAGAAGAAAATAGCATTACGAACTCCTGTATCAGGAATGGTGCATGCTTGATTAAGCAACATTGTCTCCAACTTGTTAAGTTAGTTTTAAGTTAAAATTTCTGAAAAAAGCTATTTCAAAACTATTATCAATAGAGCATTTTTTAAATTTCTATGATGGAAATCATCTGTATTTCGGGTTACTAATTATAAGTCACGATTTTTAACTAAAGTTAACTAATAGTCCTTCGTTCGCTGTGTTGATTCTAAGGTGCAAAATATTATAAAACATATTGAGCTAAAGCACACAAACAGCATATAGTACAATCACAAGCTTTTTAAAATAAATGGTTTCGCATAACAGCATTGTTAATATATTTAAACAGCCTCTTTTGAGGGACAATAAGTTGAAATGTAAACACAAAGAAAAAAATGGTTAGGAAACAAGGAGATTTTCCGAAAAAGAAGAGAAGCATTGAAAGACTTCTCGATTAAGCCTGGATAATTAACAATTCATTTTGATATCGAACTGTTTTTGCAATAATATAATATTTTATTACACACAGGCATACTTTAGTTCATAAGGCTTAATTTTAAAATCTCTAAATATTTTTAACTTTGTATTTACGATGATGTCTGATGATGTTTTATTTATAATAATTTTAACTTTAAAAATATATACGGCAATACGCATATATGAGAATATTCGCAATATTTTATGAACAAAACATCTTCTGGGAGTAGAGCTAACATAGTTATATAAAAATATTACTTACGATGACAAGACAGCAATCGACAAGGCAGAATGTGCCTGATCGTCCGATTCCGGCGCTGCAATGGATAACTGGAGGCCCATCAGTGGGATCCAAGACCCCAGACTCTCGAACTCTCTTCAGGAATTGGAGGAATGCATTGGGTGATGTGGGGACCCCAAAGTCTGGCCAGGTGGTGTAGTGGTACTGCATTACATCACGGCTTTCACCGCTCTCGAGATCATAGAGCCTATTGAATAAGAAATATAAATACATCTTTTTATTTTACTAATATATACAATGTCGTGTTAGGAGAATTTGACAAATTTTGGTTTCCGTAGTCTAATACTTTCTATTCCCATACTCGCGAATCCCCAATTCTATAAACGCCTGTATCACATCAGTGTACCTATGGGGTATCGGCGGGTTTCCATGAATAACGCCGATTGCTCACCATCTTTTGAACTGAAGGTTTGACGCCCTATGCTATTAAATAGCGTGGCAACGAAATAATAAATCGCGTTTAGACTTTTCGTGACCGAAAAAAAATCTATTCTCATCATGACAGCATATTTTTTTAACATCAAGAGCATAATTCTAAATTTGAATTAAGCATAACACGGACTCCTGATTGCTGTCAAAGCTTTGCTTTCTCAGCGAACTATTTACTCGTTTTTGTAGCTGCATCACAACGAGCAGGACTTTTAATGCACGCAAAGGTAATTAAAATATTTTAATGTAAGTAGGTATTGATATTGAAAAATAGTTGCCAATTACACCAATTATATCGGGCCTCGACAAAACAACCGCAGAATTGAGTTCATCAAATTTTAATTAAAATACTTTTGACTGCGGAAATATTTCATTCGCATTAATAATTAGGAAAATATTTTTGGTTTTGGCATATAGTATGTGGTAAAAATTTATGAAAAAAAAAAATTTTAACATCATTTATGTCGTCGATTTATATGGTATATCCACTATGGTCTAAAGGGTTCTATAGAACTTTAGAAAGTTTTAAATGAAAGCGCGAAAAACTTCAAAGTACTTCAAACGATGGACTTTGTATGACTTGTTGCACTGACTTCAGAGTGCCCAATTACATGGATTCAGCCGAAATTAATTAATCTAAATAATCAAAAACCTTAGAGCATTTCAATTACTAGAAAAGGAAGTTTCCAGACGTTGCCTTTGAAGGATCTCTCCTTATGCAATTTCAAAACATTAATGTACGTATTCAGTTCGCCATAAATATTTGTTAAATGCGTTTTACACATGTATGATTGAATACCACGAGACAACCGCGTTACTGTATCAACTCTAACACATACTTTCAGTTAATAACCAAGCGAGTACCAAAATTAATGTGGTTTAAACGCATCAGTTGCAATTTCGAGTCTACATCATGCGAAATATGGTTCAAGTTTCGAAAGTTGTAGGAAATGTATCCTGATCACGTTGTGGAACTTAAACAATGAAAAGCACATGCAGGTATCGTTCATAATCGCGTTTGGAATCAAATTTATGCCTCCATCAGCTTTGTCGTAGGGCTTTCTGGATGAATTTGTTGTTTTTAACTTTATTGGTAGCATAACGTTCAAATCCCATTACCTCCGTCACGTCGCCAGCGACGAAGGGTGGGTACTCGCAACCATGTCCACAAAACATTAAATTTAGCATTTACCAAAATTTTTGTTCGATATTCTATAACGAACAATATAAAGTTTATATGCTAGAATTTAACGTATCATTTCAGTAGTTGGAAAATAGGGCATCCAGATCAGAGATCTGGATACCCTATTTTCCACATTTTAATCTTCTATTCACATATTATTTTAAGATAGCAGGCATGGCAGTAATATTCATAAAAAAGATCATACTTATTGAATATGATAATATGGAATGCTCTCGCTATTGTCCATTGCGCTGCCTTATATACCTAGGTACGTAGTGCAGTGGCTATTTATTACATGTATAAGAATGAGTTAGCAATAAAAAAAATGATATTTTGAATTATTTTATTTTAAATATACAATTTTTGATATTTTTATAGTTGATATCTATTCATTACTACATAGGTACACTTATAATTATTTACATAAACTTTTTTAGAAAATTAAACATACATAAGTGGTAAACGGTAACGTCTATACATTTAAATTATTAAATCTATACTCTTGGTTCGATGTCATCCTGAATTTTGGCAATTAATTCTCTCGTACTGGTATATATATCATCGTATAATATAGTTTTCACAACATGTTGAACACACACATCAGCCTCACAATTACACATCGGCTGTTCGGATTTTTGAAAACTGTCTGTATCATAGATTTCTATTTTTATTATTTTCGTTCCACGAGAAACAGGCTTCTTTATAAATTGATAGAATGTCTGATCTGTTTTTGATCTCTTGCGAGCGAGACCCAGCGTCTTCTGTCCAGTGGTTTGTTGGACTGGTTGATTCATGGGTACAAAATTGAAGAGATCCTCCGAGTCCTGAAATAACAATACAATATTAATTTAAGTTACACTACAAACGTTACGATTGAAATAAAGGCTTATGTGGAAATAATTAATGCTGTGATGCTACTTACTACTATTGTTAATATTAATACATTTTTAAATTGTTAGTGAATGTATTAAAGTAACACTTACCGACATTCCGCAATTATATCAGTCTGATTCAGTCTTCACCATCAGATTCAAAGATGAAATGGATTTCAATTTATTATATCCCCCTTTTATATTTTTAAATTTAATTATTTCTTTTAATACATAGAGTTCAATATCGTATATTTTTGTTAGATGTTTAATATCTATACAAAAATGGTATGGTGAAATTGAAACCGCAGACATTACGACGCCTAACATTTTATTGTTTATCGAAAATATATATCGACAAAATAATACTACTGTATTTTTGTTCACGGTTATTGTTTTCATACATTTATTAAAATGATTTGGCAAGCAAAATCATGGTATGTTAATAGTATATCAGCGTTAGCGAATTTGCAACGTAGCTGAATTCTTTTTAAGGAGACGGATCATAACAATTGATCAATATCGACATACAATTATTAAGCCTGGTTTTACCTGCTATTATTATTATAAAGATTAAAAATAAATAGTTTTTTTGTTATTAATTTATTTTTTTAATAGCTTAGATGTACCTCTATGCTGGAATAAAACACAAGATTTACTTAATCGATCTGATTATTATTGTAGTAGGTACCTACAATTAGTGAGCATCGACACGTTTTACGTTTTCATACAATTGTTCAACTTCTTCTATATTTCATAAAAACAAATAAGTTATCATAGTAATTGTGAAAAAATTATAAGATAAATACAAGCTTATTTTTACATACCGAAATATGAGATTCTGACTAGTCATATCTCCATTCCTCCACATGTCTAGAAGTTGCATGCGAGCGTGCAAACCGCAGCGTTTGTACCGTCGCCTGACGTCAAAAACATTCAGTAAAAAACAACAATCTTCAAACTTTTTTTCTAAATATGAAATTCCCCTATTGTTTATTTAAGTAAGTATCTATATTCATCATCCGTCTACATTATCTATCTATACATATAATAATCTACACTAATATTATATAGAGGAAAGATTTGTATTTTTGTATGTTTGTAACGAATAAACTCTAAAACTACTTAACCGATTTCGATGAAACTTGGCATACAGATAGACCATAACCCGGAATATGACATAGGATTTTTATCTCAGTATTAAGTTCCCGTGGGATAATTTAAAACTAACGCGGGCGAAGCCATGGGTAAAAGCCATCTTATATAATAACACTAAGCTTAAAACCTTAACCGCTCAGATTTGTACGCTCGTGTATGCAATTTTTGCAAGTATGCAGTTTTACAAATTTGGATTGAATGATGTGATTTAGGCCTATAAAAACGCATAACAAATTAGTCTCCGGTACAATTCCTCTCTGGTACGAATCCTCTCTACAACGGATCAACTCTCCGAGCTCCTGATCAAGCTACCTGTCTAAACACCTATCAAGAATGTAAGTATCTATTCATAATCATTTATCTAACTATTAAATGGTCAGAGCAATGTATTAGTTGATATATTCAAGTATTCGAATGTTGACCGTCAATATTGTGATGCAGGTTCGATTCCTGCACAGATCGAATATGCTACTTTGTGTTGAAAAAAAATGAAAACTAAGTACCAGTTACATAATTATTTTAATTTATTTCAACTATAACACAATGATAATTATGACTGCTTATGAAAGATTGGACAGTCGAGGGTTCCATTCTCGTAACGTTTCAAGTCTAACTGTGACATACATATAGTTAATCTGATCATTATTTCTTATCTCTGTAGCATAGATAGAATATTCTAGTTTGACGTTAAGACTATGTGTCTGTACCTATACCAAGCATTGTATTTGTTGTTCATCGATTTTTATAATTTTTAATATTAGATTTATACATAGAAATATTTAGAGATATAGCGAAACCTAATCAACATAAACACCTATACATATGTAGAAAATAAAATTATCGATTACAGTGCACTAATAATATATTATTTATACACAGGTCGAAGCTACTCGCCAACGATCTCTTTCTCTCCAGCGACGATTCTGAAGCGGAGGTGAAGCCGAAGGGGAAGTCGGAGGACAAAGAAAATGAAGAGAGAGCGATCCGGCAAGTCGAGTGAAGGATCTAGTTCGAAAAAGTCCAAACCAACTATCTCCCCAATTTCTCCGCCAGCATGCGTTACGGCCAATGAATTATTCGGTGACGAAGACGATGACAAGAATGAATGTGTTAAGAGCTCTACCAAAACGGGTAATGTCCCACCTATACATTCTTATTTTACGAAAAGGCTGCGGAAGGGCTATTCTCGGCAAATTAGTGAGACGAAAGAAGGAAAATATTACGTCGAGTTAAAAATATATGATGTCGAAGAAATAAAAAAATTATGCCGATAAATAGATGGCGGCATTGCTATTACTACTATAAAAACTAAACTGGATGAAGATAAGGAGTCTTGGCGCCATATAAAAGAGTTCATCTTAGCGACCCAAAAAGATTTAAAAATTGTCCGCTGTCGTACTTAGGATCCTACGAAACTTAACGATTTAACCTATTGTTAATCAATTTATTATTCCTGTACACATTTTTATATTAGGTACATGATGCATAGTTATATCTCTATATACAATATAATAACATTTATCCCAGCATTAGCTTTAATTCATAGGG